TGCGTCATAAATCGAAAGCGATATTCACTAAAATCTTCTCATGTACTGTAGAAATAGGATCACCGTGTTTCGAGTGTGGGTGTGAATGAAGAGAAGACAACACCCACACCCACACCCTAGGAAACTATTCGTCATGTTATGATAACTCATGCATATGTAAGCAGCAATAATGCTGAGTAAACACGTATATTTTAAGATTTGGCAATGATAGTGTCATGAGTAAGAGTTCTATAGCATACATTCCGATATGTAACTAAGAGTTTTATTTCTTTTTTACTCTCTTAGAATTATTCAAACATCAGTCTCTTATGCCAAGCATGGCACAATTCGGATGGATAAAACTTGATGATAAACCATATATTCCCGATGACAAAAATGTGGCACAATTGTTTGAATCAGAATCATTATCCATCATTAAATTACCTGGTATACTCTTTCATATTATAACATCTATAGATATATTTATCACTGAATTTTTTTTTTCGTTTTTTTTTTACCTTTCATCTAGAATCTAGTTTGACAAGGCATGAACGAAACTTCCTTGATAAGCTTCAATGTAAAAATTTATCTGAAGTATTGAAATCAAATGTAAATGTTACAAACGCAAAACAATCCGATGATTTAAAACAATTTTATACACAAACTTTACCATTTGTTTCCAACTATTTATACAACGAAACAGACTTGTTTGATGGATTATATAATAAACGAAAATTAAATGACATAGTTTTACAAATGAAATTTTTCATCGTTGATAGTATTGAAGTAACGTTTGGATATAATTATAAATCATTTGATCATATCTATCACTGTTATCTTGATCAAAAGTTTAAACAATTTCATTTATTAAAGACACATCATTATTCACAAAGTATTAATACAATGATACAATTTATTATTAATGATACTGTTATAGAATGTCAATATAAACGAGATAAATTAGATAAATATTATAGAAAGTTATTAGCAGCTTATTCTAAAGATTAATTAAAACAAAATACTACGGATGACAATGATGAATCGAAACCAGTATGAATAATAAATATAGATAATGAAGAACAAGATGAAAATAATGTCATAGAAGATATCAATAATGATGATACAAAGGTTGATATTCATAGTGATCTAACACGAGTTGATCAAATATTGAATAAAGAAAAAATTGTAATACCAAAATCGAAATTGAAACATAAACAAACTTATCCACAATCTAATACGAATAGTTCGAGTTATGATATCCATGTGCATGATGAAACAAATAAATTAACAATAGATGACAAAGTAAACAAGAATGATTCATCGACAATGACTATACGAAAAGAACATCAACAGCCAGGTAATTTTTTTTATTCAACTGCGCTTTCTTCTTCTTGTATTTTGTCACGCATGTAAAGAAATAGTCCGATAGTTGGGGCATGTGACTCACTTTCTCTGAAAACACGTAAACTTTAATATTTCGATTAAACAATTCTTGGTTTTTCTTTTCTATCTTTCACTCTGTTCAATAGTGTCAGACTTGAAGGTTGAATTCAATTATTGAGCGAGATGCATCCAATACTTGTCAGATGTGTCTATCTTTCGTGTCAACAATCATTGAATAATTCGATTCAATTTTCGAGTTTGATATGTATGTATTTTTTTAGGTTTTATTTCGAATTTCATACCGAAGAAACAGAATATAGTCCACTTCAAGCATATCAATCTCAGTAATCTAATGATATCGGATGAGGATGATATAGTACAGAATTTAAACGAAGAAGTAGACGAAGAATATCTTCTAAAAATAGGACGCAAACGTGAAGAATTGATTTTTAAATATCTTACAGATTTGTATCATAATAATGAAAATGTATCAATAGAATGGCTAAATGAAACTAGTGAAATAGGATTGTCTTACGATATTAAAATTAATTTTATTGATGAATCTGAAAAACCTCATCAAATCGAAGTGAAAACAACATCAAAACCTGTTGATAATTATCAGTTTTCAGTATCAATACAAGAAGTTGTAGAAATATTAAAAAATCCTACTACCTATTACATATATCGAGTCAATTTGACTAATCGTTCATTGACAATTACAGAAGATATTAAATTAAATTTATCCAACAAACGACAACTAGAACTGAAAGTGAATGTTTTAACAACGAATGATTTGGATTCAAGAAAATAACTTCATAGTTCACGAGCAGATAGACTAACTCGATGCTATGAAATGTAAAAGAGAAAATAAAACTGCCATTGTCACTTTTATTCAAGAGTTAAATTTTCTCTTCATTGACTATTAAACAAGGCAGATTCCATTTTTCGATACATGAAAAGAAGTTCTTATAAATCAACAGTATATGAAATGTATCGTGACAGTGAAAATCTTCTGATCGATCTGATTGAATTGGTTTTCCAATATGTTTGCGCAGCGCCATGCTTCGGCAGTCATAGCAGAGTGAGGTGCGGACGCAATATTGATATAGCCGAGATCGGTCAAATTCTTCGAAGTTAGGGTGTGAGTATGGTAGAGAGTGGATAGTTCAACAGAAGTTACACATCCACACGCTATCTTCGTGATAATACAAGCACAAATATGTCTATATTTATCACATAAAGTTTTTATAATTTTTTGGTAAGTTGAAATAATCAATATTAGTATAAGATCAAATATATTGATCGAAAATTATGAAAAAAAAAAAATTAGATGTATTTTATGAAAAAATTCTATTCTTGGATTTCTGCGAAAGAACAAAAAAATACAATATTTAGAATTTCAATAATAACAATGTTCACATGAATAGTAGAATCTTAGATTTCTTCCTATTCAAATAAACAATATTTTTTATAAGATCTTGTTTAAAAACAATAACATTCTATAAGAATAAAAAAGCAAAGAAATGTAAAACATCTGTCATAATGAACAGTAAAAATTAATTTCTTGATTAAAAACAATTAATATATCTTAATTTAAATAATGTAAAATATCTTTATCATTAAGATTTCGTTGCAGATATTCTTTTTCAATTAATAATATCAATACATTTCTATAAAATAGATTTGGATTATAAAAATATTGTTTTCATACTCCATGAAATAGTTTTACCTTAATTAACGAAACTTTCGGTTTAAAACGTAAACTGAATTGTTCAATGATTTCTTGTATTTATAATGAATATTTTAAATTTTGTCGTTGTTTCATTATTCGAACAATAGCTGCCTGAAAAAAATCAAAGTTGATAAAACATATAGTTTATTTTTTTCTTACTTGAATAACTAATTTATGATCTTCATCGATCAATTCGTTTAAATATTTCAAATCTTTTTGTTTGGTTGATTTTAATTCTACATTCAGATTTATTCGGAGGTTTTCACTAAAGCCAAAAAAAAGAATTTTAAATATTAATATAAAATTAAACGATTTTACCATATAAAATCTTTCGTTAATTCAATTTTATGATTCATTTTAATATTACTATCTTGAAAATCTTCAGTAATTTCTTTCGAAAATAATATTTTACTTTTCAATAAACTAACAAGAACTTGAAGTAATAATTCAGTTTGAATGTGTATTCTATTTTGTATTTGTTCAACTGTCCAATTTAATTCTTCATTAAATAATAATAATACAATCATTTGATATATTGATACCTTTTAAATTATTAATTCTATTGAAAATTTTAAAATAATTAATGCTTACTTGCAATGTATATTTCTGTATAGTAAAACATGTTTGTACTTCGCCTTTTGAATATTGATCAAGCAAAATTAATTTTCGGCCATTATGACGATGAGTATAAAAGTCTTTAAAACTATCAAATGTTGCTTTCAGCTTAAAAGAAAAAATTATTTATGAAAAAGTAATAAATAATAATTATTTCAATCGGTAAAATAATATTTGGTAGAGGTAAGAATGACTATGAATTCGATCTCAACACCATTACAGAAAAATTGGCTAAAGGAAATAGGAGAAATTTTTCTTTCAATATATTTAAAGAATATATCTTACCAGTGTCTTGGAGATCTTTATTTTTGCAACCCATTCGATATTCATCAATTAAAGTTTTACTAATATCAATATCTTAAATCATTCGTTCGAAGTTCGATGTATATTCAAAACCAAACGTTTGCTGTGAAAATAAGGTAAAATAATGATTAAAAATCGACATAGATAGGTTATATACTTTTAATTTCGATATTATTAATTTTTCATCATCATTAGAAATACTTAAATTGATCAACTAAACGTTTTGCTAACATTTTACCATAGAATTTTTCATAAACATCTTTATCTTCGATATAATTAAAAACGATCTAAAAAGAAAACATAATAAGATTATTGAAAAGAATAATTTATCTAGTACCAATATTTCATTGAATTTTTTGTCAAGATTAATCTCTTCCATAGTTTTATTTCTAGACAAAAAATCAAATCATCCATTTTAATAGATTTAAGTTAAATAAAATAAACCTTTTTTTCAAAAGTGTATTACAATATCGAGCTAATAATTCAGGTGATTTTATTCTTGTACCAGCTATTTTTGTTATCGCATTATTATTTATAAATTTATCACATGCCTATATTATTTCAACAATAGACGGTAATTCAGATATAAACATTTACTTTATCTAAGACAGCTTTAAAAACTGGTCCAGCATCAAAAATTTTTCAGCATTTCTTATGAGTATCAATTATTGCTTCAACATATAGTTTTGGATCCTAATATAGAAAAGAAGAAAATGAAAACTAGGACAATAGAGTTAAACACCCAGGTCGAGCATTACAATGACCAGAAACGGCCGTAACTGCGCCGTATTTCCCGGGACCGTATTCCGACCGTATTTCGCCGTGTCGTATACGGCGTAATACGGCGGTCGTTTACGGCCGTATTCATAACTGGACACGGCCCCAAGTATGATTGATAAGGCCGTATACGCTACCCTTCACGGCCGTAACTATATCGTATACGGCCGTATAAGACCATAAATCGCCGTATACGGTGGCCGTATACAGTGCCCAGAACGAGCATTACAGCGACCAGGAACAGCCGTATACGGCCGTAAATTCACCGTTCTGAGACTTTTTGAGACTCATTGAGACTTATTGAGACTTACTGAGACTTTTTGAGACTCATTGAGACTTTTTGAGACTTACTGAGACTTTTTGAGACTCATTGAGACTCATTGAGACTTTTTGAGACTTATTGAGACTCATTGAGACTTATTGAGACTTATTGAGACTTATTGAGACTTTTTGAGACTTGTTGAGACTCATTGAGACTTTTTGAGACTTATTGAGACTCATTGAGACTTACTGAGACTTTTTGAGACTCATTGAGACTTTTGAGGGCCCATAGAAAAAGACGTTTCGAAAAGTTTTTGAGAAGTTTTTGGCCCGAAGAGAACTCCTTATAATAGTGTGAAACAGTTGAAAAAGACTCGACGGGAAGCAGTCTGGCACCTTGCGAGACTTTTTTGGAGTTCTTCTGAAGATTGCGAATAGGTACGAAACATTCTGTTTGAGTGCTGTGAAGACTTTTCATGTAAGATCTGCTAGCGCGCAAAAGCTTGAAAAAAGGTAGTTTTCTAGGTTCCAGAGACTTTTTCCAAGAACTTTCTGCGAGGTGGAAAACTATGAAAGCAGATGTGAAAAGACCATTAATGATTTTTTCATTCAAAGGCAGGATTGTATTCTAGTGAATGCTTGGGTTTGGGGATATTCTCTAATGGAACGCTTTGCGTTAAAAACAAAACGCTCAGGCATTGTGGTTTCCTTTTAAATCGGTCGTATGCTAGAACACTTCTGTAAATATATACGAAAATGAGGCAGGATCCTTCCTCAGAGACCATACAGGAACCTCATCAGAAAAGCTATCCAAACGACTACACTTCAATAACTGGAATCGGTTATTCATCGTTCTTGTTCGTGGTTCTTTGTATACCTCAACAGCACATACCTCGGCGTGCGTGTCTGTATAAAAACAGGAGCGGGACTCAAAAGGACGGAAAAACACTCTTTCTTCATCAAATCATCCGCTAAATATTCGATTGTTCATACTTTTTCCTACGACGTCATTCTCAACTGAAACAACCACCAGCACGTGGTGCAGCCATTTATATAGTAGGGTGTCAGACTCGAACAGACTACAAAAAGCTCTTTTCTGATCAAATAATACTCTTCAAAAATCCATTGTTCATACTTGTTACTCATACCTAACACTATGCAAATGACCACTAACCCGTGCTGCAGCTTCTTATATAGTAGCGGTGAGATTCAAAAACGCTAAAAAAACTCTTTTTTGATCAAATACTACTTCTCAATATCCATTCTTCACACTGGTCGCTCATACGTAACTCTCAATTGAAATCACCACGAGCACCTGTTGCAGCCCCTTATATAGTAGGCGTGAGACTTAAAAAGACTCTCTTTCCATCAAATCATCCGCTAAACAATCGATTGTTCATACTTGTTACTCATACCTGAATCTCAATTGAAATGACCACGAGCACGGTGTGCAGCCCTTTATATAGTAGGGGGTGGGACTAAAAAAGACTAAAAAAAGACTCTTTTTGATCAAGTAATACTCCTCAAAAATCTATTATTCATACTTGTTACTGATACTTGAATCTCAATTGAAATGACCGCGAGCACGTGTTGCAGCTCTTTATATAGTAGGGGGTGAGACTAACAAAGACTAAAAAAGACTCTTTTTTGATCAAATAATAGCTCTGTTACTTACTTTCTTATTAATTAAAGCCGGCTTTGAAGGAATATAGTCATACATATATTTACGGAGTGAAACATTTTCAATTAAACGTGGGATTTTTTTTGAAACAAAGTCAAGATTTTAATCGATGAAGTTGATTGCCTTTGACTTCTCACAAAGAGAATCCAGGCAATCAATGAAGTTCTTGGTTTCGTTTCAGAACAAATCACTGTTTTAATCGAAAGTTTTGCACTGCGTGCGTATATATATATATCTGTATGTATGTTTCTGGGCAATTTGATGATATTTGTTACAGCCGTTCCTGTGAAAAATTCGTTAGTGGTTAGGTTCGACTTCAACAGTTGCACTAATATTATTTCACTATGAGTACCAAACGAGAGAGTACGTCGCTGTTTTTCCTGAATATGCTGTTGACTGGCACCGTAAAAAGTAGAGTTTGTTTATATAATGGCTGTTGGTTTGTAAATTAGTCAGTTTTGAAGGACACATCTTTGACAGAATATTATTATGAATAAAATTGCAGAAATGTTCAGGAACATGTGGCATTGAAAATGATGAAAAACAATTTGTGTTATGATTAGAAGTGTATAGTTACTTCAGCACTTATAGAAATACCCCTGGGTTGATCTCACATGACGAATACTATGCATTCAATGTTTCATTGATGAAAAGAAAGTTTGCGGCATCTATAACTGTTAAGAGACAATCCTTTTTCGTTGTATATTTATATTTTAAAATTCATAAAAATTTTTACGTTTATTGATTAATGCCAGTCACGATTACACTAAATTGTTTTAGCGGTCACTTATACAATGAAGGTTCAATCAGGTTTCACAATGATGGTGAAGAAGGGAGGACTTGTTTTTGTTTTTTTTTTGTTTTTTTTGAGGAAGATCAATGCGGTAAATGATTTGTGCACTTATCCCACCACTTTACTAGTTTAAAACTCATCAAATGGTCGAACTTCAGTCTTATAACATTGTGGAGTTCTTTATATTTTGAAATCACAGCTATTGTGATTGAAAACTATTTCCGATGGTATTACATGTTTTTGCTTTTGTTCTAGATTATTTGTTTTTACAGTTCATCTTTTACCATGCGTATGAGAAAGACATATCGTAAAAAGACAATCGTTGATAAAGAAAAGAGAATTTAACTGATAAAAATAGTAAGTTTTACGTCTAAATGTATCATGAAGGTGTGGCCCTTAATTTTAGCTGATTACGAACAAATTTTACCGATTATGATGGAAAATTCAAAGCATTCAGAAACTAAAAATAATTCTTATATTTATTTGGTAAAATCAAAAGAAGGACAATCTGCACAAAAGGGATTTGATATGTTTTATCATCATCTGACGTAAATGAAGATATTCTTACTTCGTTTCTTCGTGATGATACACATGTAGCAGAAGGTAGTGAAGATATTAGTTCGTTTTTTCGTGATGATACAAATGCAACAGAAGGTGATGAAGATATTAGTTCTTTTCTTCTGAAGGATATAAATTTACCAGGAAATAATCAAATAAGTATGTTTGTAATTATGTCCTTAAAAAATTATGTTTTATTTATAAATTCAGTTTTTGCTAGTCAGCAAGGTCAAAAACGATCATTTGAACATCATACCGATATAATGGAAAATGAAAAGCGTTCGAATTTGTCAAATGATGTGTCTTCTGAAGATATGCCGAATTTAAAAAAAAATTGCTGCACTTGAAGCTAAACTTGAGAAGTTAAAGGCTGAATAGATAAGTATGTAATATTTATTTTTAAATTTTTTCATACTCTTTTACAAAATATGCTATACGAACATAGATAAATATTATCAAAATTTAGGTTTGATCTGATAAGTTTTTCTACGACTCATCACATAAAAAATGTAATACTCTTTATTCTTAATTATTTGTATATTTTTCTATTTCGTTTTGAGAATTAGGCTGTAATTCCTGGAAAAAACTAGAATTTTTTCATCATTATAAGATAATTGTTATATTAATAGAGCAGAACAGTTCTTTCCTTTAAAAAAAAATATTATACTATTTATAAGAAATTTTGCCATGTCGACTTAATCATTTTTTCTGTTTAGCTCGTCCAAAAGATCCAAAGGTTATCCAACATTTAACTGAAGCAACAAATACGTCACTTAATGATAAAGGAAATACAATTTTTCATCAAGATACATCACTGGTGGACATAATGAATATACTCAATATGAATGAAGATCAACTTAAATTATGTAATAAAAAATCATCAACAGCTACTGCACGTTTAGTAATAAAATTTTTGTTTCCACATCCTGATTCTAACTTCAGTTATGTTGAAGCCGATAAAATCATTGTTGATACAATCATCAGTAAGTTCAGCCTTGCTTGTTTTTGCAATCAAGTAATATTCTTTTTTTTTACGTAGAATACACAAAGTTTTCAAATCCTAATGATAATAAATCTAATGCAGAAGTTCGACGAGCAATTAGTAATTATTTTTCGCGTTTAAATTATCAAAGAAAAATAAGAAGAAATCATTAACTGTTATCAAATTGTTAAAAAATCAAACAAGAATAGTATATTAACACCTAGTAACGTTAAAATAAAAAAATTCTTTTTTTTCTTAACTATTTGTCATATACAAATATTTTTCTTGGTTTACTTGATGTCATTAGATTTCTTTTACTTTCATTTTCAAATTTACTCTTGTGGAAAACGTTTTTGTTTTTTTTTGTATATGAATATCATTGTGAAAAATTTATCTGGGTTATCACCAAATAATCGATATTGCATTAATTATGATGAAATGATTATAACTAACTCAACATCGATTATTTGATTAATATTGGAAAACATCTTTTTGTATGGATAAAAATGATATGATATATTTAAATTGATGTAATATTAAGACAAAGATACTCATAAAGGGTCTTTTACTTTTTTGTCATTTATATTCAAGATGCTTTAATTTATTATTTCGTTTTTTTTTATTTGCTGCCAACATTGTTTTATTTCTTTCATTTACATAGCTTTATGTTGTTCTTCTTTTTTATTTTATTTTGTACTTTCTATCAGAAGAACATTACATGAGAATAAAAAGTAATCAGAAACGAAATACAAATGTGTTACATATCGAAATGAAAATCTTACTTTTAATTATCTAGTAGCGTATTGGCTAATCCATTTCATATTAAAATTGATAACTTGCACGGCTAAATGTCCATTTACACGAAAATGAAAAATATAATAAAAAAAAAAGAAACGATAGCGAAAGAAGTATCAAAGTTTAATAATGAAAAAAATTATAGAATGAAGTGATACTAATCATTATCTTCGCTCGAATACTTGCTTCTTTTTATAACAGCAAGTTCAATATGAATCAGACGATCAATAATAGTTTTATAACAAATAATGCAATATTATGTTCTTTACGTTTGCTTGGATGTACATATGTTGCAAATTACAGCTAAAATAGAAGTCATTTGATTAAAAAGAATTTTATTTGTTAGTTGCAACAGTTATAAGTGTTTATATTCCTTCCAAAAATTCAAATAGGAGATATAGACTCGACAAAGAACTCTGTTGTTTCAAAAAAAACAAATAAAATCTAGGTTAGGTAGACATATGTATATATTGAGATCAAGATCGAAAACAATTATAAGAAAATTTTATTTGACTGATGAAAATGATGCAGCTTCCTGATGGAGATGTTATATGATCGAGATATTCATATTCTCTTTATAGTAACAATGATTTATCAACTATATCTGTAATACTAACATCGACTTGTTATCAGATAATCAAATGCGACAAATTACAACATCTTGTTAATGATTAAACCGTAAGAGCTTGTACATACTATGCGAATAAAAAGTGAATTTAGAAATGTGCTGGTGTTTTCTTGTGGCAACATCAATCATCTTTCTTAATTCACTTTTAATTCATGTAGTATGTACAAGGACTAACTTCTCGTGTGAAATGTTGGACAAATATATTTTCATCAAATTGTAAGTGGTGTACCGAAAAGAGATAAATTAAGGAACTTTTTTGTTAACCTTGATAGAGAATAATTATAGAATGACTAAAAAGTAGTATCGATTATTAACATAAATAATTTCGCATCGATAGGTATTTATTTTTTTGGAATTAAGTTCCTTATTTTGTAGATTTAGTTTTTTATACATTCCAGGAAGTCCAAATTGCTCAAGTGCTTCTAATTTTTCTACTTGTAGTGATTAACTTCAATAATAGGACCTATTGGACTTTACATTTCATATAAATTCCTTGCAAAAGTAGTGTCTCGATTAATGAAAATGATTTCTTCTTGATAATGAAAGCAATTGTGCTATGAATCAAAAACGAACATGGATGTTTCAATTATGTTAAAGTAAATTGTTCGTCTCAGGGCTAGATATATGTTGTGTTATTGTTCGTATTATTTTTCTAAGCATATATCTGTTTCATCCCATTAATGTTGAAATTGGTCCACAATGTTTAAGTTCTTAAGACCCCCCCCCCCCCCCCCTCAAAAAAGTCACTTTTCGTCACAATCATGGAAATTGAGATAAATACATAGGAAGATAGCCTGTCATTTGCTCTTTCATAAACGATAAAAATTTTTCTTCGATACCTCCTTTTCCGAAAAATTTTCAAGATTTCTGATAACTTCTATTCGAAAAACCAGTGGTTTTTGAAAAAATCCAAAAATCTTTTTCTTTTTTTCTCAAAACGGTGGTTGAGCGGCGCATCTCCAGTGAAAGTCAACTATAACCCGACATAAAGTCAAATATTTTTTTTTGTTTGAAAGAGCATCAAAAACTGCAGTGCCTATGAGAGCCCTTTTTTTGATAAGACTTTGCTATTATTATATTGATAAGTAAGTTTATTATGCGAGCGCCATTTTTTTGAGGGATTTTTGAGTAATTGAACTTGGGAAACCTTTTTTCCTTCATAAAGATAAGAATAAAAAAAAAGGGCCCTCATAGGCACTGCATCCTGACATGCTCTTTCATATGAAAAAACAATCAACCATATTGAATGAATACCCATAGAGATTTTTTGGAGACGCGATAAGCTATTTTTTTACCCTAGTTTGATTCGTACCTATCTTATACATGGGGATAGGAGGCTGAAAATTTCACCACAGACGTACTTTAACACCCCCAATATATCCTCAAAGTTTCAAGGCATCTCGATGTTCCTGAGCTGAGATCGATTTTTGAGGGGGGGGGCCTTAATAGACATAAAAAAAACATAAAAAACACAAAACAAAGTTCAGAATGAGAATAAATAAAATTCACACCATCAGTATTCTTAAGTGATAAATAAAAATTGTCATTCAGATAATCAACAGTAGTGTAATTCTGCTTTGAAAAGAAGTAAATGGTGAATTTTCATACTCTCATTGTTTTGATGATAAAATGTGGACCATGGATTTAGTTGATGCGCGAAAATAATAAGGTAATAAAAATAACTAGAATAAAATGAGATGAATCAAAAAGAAATCTCTATGAGAAAAACATGAAAGAAAATCAATAGAGTTCAAGTTTATTTCACTCAGCATGTGTTTGTGTTGAAATCAATTGATTACATGTAGATGAATGGTCTTCCACATGAGTATGAGTACGTAAAGAATTTCGAGCAAGTTTGATTGACTCTCGTCGACGTTCTTCGATGAGAAGGGTGTGGGTGT